TAGGAGCTGGCATGGAATTGTCTGGAGCTGTCTCAAAAGTGAGAAAGATGACACTGCATCACTTTGCACTGTGATTCGTGTTTGGAAGGTTTGAGTTTCTGGTTTGGTTTTTTTCCTTTCCATGAGAAAGAAAACTAAAATATTTCAAAAATACACTTGCTGGTTGAAAGTTTAGATGGGATGAGTGACTTTGGCCCACAATTTTCAACCTCAAAGTCTGAGCTTCCTTTGTTTTTCTGTTACCACTGACATGAGGAATCCACAAGATACTTGTTCAAGCAAAGGGCTTGTACAGGCTGGTCCAGCCTCTTTAAGGAGCTGTAACAAGAGCTGCAATCAAACAGTTCTGTAACAACTGGGTCAGTGTTTATAGAAAGACTTTCAAATATGGTTATTTATTCAGTCTCCTGCTGTAAGATTAGTCCCATTATGTGCTTCCTATGCCTTCCACTTCATTCAATTTAAATAAAAACTTTCCGCTAGAACTCCTGTACATATCAATGACATTCATCTAAATAAAATATCTCAGGCATATGAGTCTCAGGAACAGTCTTATGAAGAAGCAGATCATATTATATTTATTTAGAAATGGGATGCATGTTGACATTGGGCTCATTTCAAAATAATGTTAAAATGTTAAATCTTTATGAAATCTTAACATTAAATTTTATGAAGACAGAGATGTTTGCTGGGATGTGATGCTGAGGACCAAAATCAACTGCTGAAGGTAAAAAAAACCACAATACTGCTATAGGGGGGAATAGGGAACAAACACAAACTCAGAGTAATCCGACTTGTCTTTTTTATAATTTTTATCATTTTTTGCTTGATGTTAGTAATATAATGTAAGTTATGTACATTTCTGTACTAATTTGGTAGTGCTTGCTGGGTGAACACACAAATACTCTTTCTTTTCTTTAATGTGCTGAATTTTTTCCTAGAGAAGCTTTGCAAGTGTTTTCTCCCAATCAGAGGTCTGAAGAAATTGAGTAAGTGTAGATAACCAGCTTGTTTAATCACTGAAACACAGGAAAAAATAAAATACATTTTTTGCTTGTAAAGTAGAGAAAAGCAATAAAAACAATGCCAGACGGTTAATGCCTCTCTTGTACCTTTCATTTCAAAGACCTCAAAAGACTATCAAGAAGAATAAAAGCAAAATCTATTCCCTATTGGCATCATTATAAATGCTGTATCCTCTGAAACATCCAAGAAGAGTAGAAGAATAAATGGCATTGAAATAAAGAAAGTCTCTCTGGAGCTTTGTTCAATCGGCTTTGTTAGAATTCACTCAAATAGGATGATTATAAGAAAAGATCTCATTTGTTTCAACATTAAAGGAGCAAATTAATATGTGGCAAGCTGCTAATAATTGCCTCATTATGTAGTGAATGGGCATTGCGTCCAATTTACAAAATTACAATCATATTGTTAAAGTAACAATTGAGAAAGTTTAGTCTGAGTTTCCTAACTCTCTGCATGATTAGTTGTGGGATTCAGAGTGGAACAGATTTGGTGGTTGGAGAGAGAGCACCACTAGTCTATAGTGCTAAGGAGCCACAAGAGAAATTCAGCTTTTCATTAGTGGAAATTCCATCTGCAGAGGTCCTGAGCTGGGTTTGGTCCCGCTGAGGAGTGAATCTGGCAGTCTCTGCTGAGACCAGAGCTTGGCATGTGTCTGGTCTGTCCAGATGTTATTTTGTGGTTCAGAGACCTGGCCTGAGATCATCCCCACATGGACCCCAGCAGATGTGCAGGGCTGTGGCTGGGAAACTTTGTGATCCAAGATCTGTGCCATTGGGAAACTTAACCCATACAAATGGCTCTGTAGCTGGAATTTCAGTCTCCTGATGGAGACACTGGAAGTGGTGGGGGGAGTTGTCAAATTTGGAAAGTAAGCAATTTTCCAAATAATGAAATCCTGTGTGGAAGAGAATCATGTTTTGTGACCTACTTTAGTTGGATTTGCTTGTGACCTTTTCTAATTCTGGCTGATTTTGTTATTTAATGATTTGACCTTTGATTCTGTGAAGCCACTTCAATGCTAAATGCAAAGATTTAATAACTAGAACTGTTTGATAAGTGACCTTTATTACACAGCTATTTCTCTTTGCTAGAGAAATGGCACTGTTTTGCGAGTTCTAATTCGCAGTTTTAATTATCTTTTCTATTGTCTGTAAGCTTGCACAGGAAATGGAAAGGTCAGACATTTCATTTTCTTTACTGATTAAAATATAAGTGTTCCTCAACAGTTACAATGTATCATTCAGGAAAAAGATGGGACTATTTGTCAGAACCATACCCAGCTGCTCTGCTGGGTCTTCTACATCCTTCTGGTCAGCAAAAAAATGAGACATTTTCTAGCAGTAATACCAGCTCAGCCCCCTTGCTGTTTAGAGATGAGATAAACATCTAAGTACATGAAAAGAGAAGAAAACCTCTATGGTTCTTAATGTTTTTGTCTTTAACTCGTGTGTCTATGATGCAAGTGAATGAAGATCTTGTGATAAGAAGTAGCAGCAAAAGTTTCTGTGTGGTCCTGCCAATCTGTTTCAATCCCACTGCTGCTGGACCATCTCTGCAGATGAGAGGGCAGCCTGGACTGCCTGGCCAACCCATTTGTATTGTATGTGGATTCATGTGTGTTACTGAAGCCACCCTTCTCATCTGTGACACGAACCAACACCACAAATTGGTGGCCTGTCTCTATATGGGGTTCAGTGAGTGAATATTGATGTTTGTTTTCTCATATGTTGAGGGAGATATGATGGAGGCAGTGGAATATCTATCATATGTCTCAGCTTCCTAACTCTGGGATCTCTGTTGGGAAATGTGCATACTGGGACATGTTAAATCTCTACATTGTAAAAAATATTTATTGTGAGATAGAGCTGGGATTAGCCTCTGACTCTGTTCAAGAAGAGCAGATTATATATTGACCTAGTATAGGCATTCAGTATTATGAAAGCACTTTATAAATTGGAACAAGATAAATGAATCACAGCAAAAGAGCTAGAAAACCAGGGGACACAGTTGCAGGAGTGAGTGTACTCAGCTTATTCAAGCAGAACACTTGCACTCAGTGAATAGAAAATGTGCAATGCATTTCTAACTAAGGTGAGGAAATTCAAACAATTCCAAATTTAAGAGAGCAGCTCCATTTTAATGGAGAAGGAAGAATTTAGTGAAAGAAGCAGCTCTGAGGATGAGACAAATTTAAATGGAACCAGATTCTCGACCAAATTGGCTTTTCCTATCTAGCAGTTTCATATTCAGCATTTGTTAGTTTGAAAGTTCTGCCTGAAAGCTATAAATTAATCTACTGGGTCTGTAACAATTCACTTCATGCTAGAATATGAGTTATGCTCGTGGATTTGTTTAGGTCACCCAGCCATGTCCTCATAATGTATCTTAGACAGTATTTCTGTAAGTAAGCAGTAAACAGAAAGACTGCTCCACTCAGCTGCATCTCCTGGGATTTCATCCCTGCTGTCAAACAGCCATGCAGGACAGCTCTCTAAAACTACACCAGCTATAAAAAATGCATGGTGTTCTTTAAAGGAAACATTGACAATGCTTTTGCATTCAATCAGGAATCTTTAGCTACTGGCAAAATGAGGAAAGAATGTTTTCCTGAACCAGCCACATAATGAAATCAAATCAATCACAACAGAGAAATTAAAGCTTTGAAATTGTGAGGTTTACTGCATAAGTCATGCAGGATGCACCTTAATTCAGTACAATATTTGTCACCCAAAGATGAGATATTTTAGCTTTTGCAGTTTGGTTTTCTTCAGATGTTTGTCTCTTGTCCTTGCATTATTCCCTCTTATCAAAGAATTCGGGTTTTTGTCAGCAGTTGCATCCTAGGGTTATAGTGGTCAAATGTAGGCAGGCTATTCATCCACATCAGCTAAATGAAGTGTGATTTTGAAGAGAAATAACCACAAGTCTGATCAGAAAAGCGCCCAGGATCCTGTCAGAGTAAATGTCCAAAGAACGTGAAGGGAATTTTTCCTAAAAAATACTAAACTGAGGTCACTGGCTCCCACTTGTGAGCATGACAGAGGATCAGGTCTGTGACCATACAAAAAATTGTAGGTTATCTTTGACCTGGATGATCTTCTGTAGGTTTTGGTTGTTTTTTTTTTATTATTATTTTAGTGTTCATTTGATTTCAATTTCTGACTGAACTCTTTATACAATCCAATTTAAATAGAGGGCATTTCCTTTTAGTCTATAGGTACAAAACAACAAAAAGGCATTTATTCTTTATACTCTGACAAATGGAGCATCAGATGGGTCCTTATATCTCAGATGTTTTTTTTCTATTATCAATTCATACTGGAGTAATAACACCCTAGAACATGGTCACAAAATACTGTCTTCAGCTATATTTTTCTCAGGATTAAGTTCCTATTTCAGGTGTCACCAGTCTCTCTACCTCTCATTTTCCATGGATCATAACTGCTCTCTGGAGAGAGCAACATATTCCTCTGTCCACATCTCCTTTCCAACTGTAGGATTTTCATACTATTAGATTGATTTTTAGAGATACATTTTGCATTAGATTTCTGTCACAAGTTTGGGAATTGTTAATTCAGATACAAACACAGTTAAGGTACAGTTAAATTTTCAGCATTACTTTTTCAGTAATTTTTTTCCTATTGCTGACAACACCTTTTTAAAAGAGACACCATTTATCTAAATATTGCTTTCTACTATTTCTTTATTTCCTTGTTTTTTAGTGAAAAGAGTAATATTTAGAAGGAGAAAAAAAAAATCCGTGTAGCTGACTTTGCAAGGTGGGAACAAAGGCAAAGATTGTAACTTTTCTATTTCATTGAAAAGCTTTGCATTTGTAGTGGTAGAGTTTTCAAACAGCTCTGCCACGTGGGGATTGCAGTTATGTTTTTTTAAAGAGAAGCATTGCTATCAATTTGTTGTACTGTACCTGTTTTTCTTTTAACTGAGTTTTCAGTCTTCATGTTTTACAGAGAAAAGCTTGCAATATACGTTATTGTTTCCTGTCTTGCAGCCTCTACATCTTGACTGTGACCTCTGTGCCATTGTTTCAAACTCGGGACAGATGGCTGGCCAGAGGGTGGGCACTGAGATAGACAAGTCCTCCTGCATATGGAGGATGAACAATGCTCCCACCAAGGGCTATGAGGAAGATGTTGGGAAGAGGACAACCATAAGAGTGGTCTCTCACACAAGTGTGCCTCTCCTGCTCAAGAATCCCGAGTACTTTTTCAAAGAAACCAACAACACCGTTTATGTGATCTGGGGTCCTTTCCGAAACATGAGGAGGGATGGGAATGGCATTGTGTACAACATGCTGAAGAAAACTGTTGACAGCTACCCAGCTGCCAAAATCTACGTGACCACGGAGAAGCGCATGAGTTACTGCGATGCCGTGTTTAAGAAGGAGACGGGAAAAGACCGGTGAGTCCTAAACGGGAGGAACAATTATAATGTTTGACAAAAGATACATGAGAAAAGTCCATGTGGGATGTCAGCTACTAAATGAGATATGTTTTTAATGGATTGTTATACGGGTTTGACTGTTATAAGCACTTGATGAGGCAGCAGCTAGGCCCCATTTACCCCACCTACGCTACCTTCTGTTCATTCCATTTCTGTTGGCTTGAATCCCAAAAATATTGGATGTCATCCTGAAATGTTTTCAAAGCTGTGTGTTGTTTTCAGCTCAATTTACTATTGATTAAATTGACATTTTATTTGAAGAGGATAATCCTACACAAACAACATTTCCAAATGCACAACCTCAGGATAATTCTGGATATTGCATTTTTCTTCTCTGTTGAGATTCACTGTAGCTTTTCTTCAAACACAGACCTCATGGTTATGCATTATTTCTGTTTCTTGGTGAAAACAGGTTATCAGACATACTGGAATAGATTTAGGTTTTTACCAGTATTATGCTGAAATTCTATTTTCTACGCTTGATAATGTGTATTTATGCTACTCAAGTGAGGCTGTAATAGGTGAAAGTGTGAGGACTGTTTGGGCTAGTATGTTCAAAGCAGAAACTGGATTTGTGGAATTAAGATTTTGTAACCAAGCTGCAAAAATTCAGGTCGTCTGTGTTTTGGCATGGAAGAGCACCTGTCACACATACTTACTTGAGCTAACTAGGAAGGAGTTTCCAGATCACTGCTGTGCATTAATAGTAATTTTTAAATTTGTGCATCATGAATTTGAAGTTGGAAAGGACTGTTGCTATTCTGACCAAATTAAAGATACAGGTTTTCACAAACAGCTTAACATAGTCTGAAATTTTGACTTAGGTTTTGAAGTAGAAAAGCTTATTATCTTAAACATATTTGTTTCACTATATTATTAAACTGCCAGAACTTGGTGACAGTTTATTTTTCCTATTTTTCAAACTATTGGAGCATAAGGAGGAGCCTGCCCCTGTACACCAAGTGCACATGTTGCTGCTGTGGTTCTGGAGTTGGAGGGAGCTCATATATCTCATAAAGATATCAAGGTTATCATGGCTTCTTTAGTTTAACTGAACAAACTGATAACCAGAGGCTAATATATACACAAGATCCATTCTTGAAAAATGACCTTTAATATTCCAAGTCATCCTGTTTACATATTAATCAAGCTAAATATGATCACAGGTACATTTTTGTGTTGCTGTACATAAATTTGTTTATATTTATGAGTCAGTCAGGTCACAGCGACTTTACTTCATCAAAATCCTTATTGTGAGATTAGACCTTGAAAAAATCTCCTCTTTTTCCTATGAAAGAAAACATCTTATCATTCAATGTCAAAGTACCCTACTCTCTAGCCTAATCCGTTCCTCTTCAACAAATTAACACATCTCAAGTTTTTATAGTTACGCAATTAACACAATACAAATGCTTCTTTTCATGTCAAAAGCAGATTGAATTTCTCTTACAACAAAGTTCTTAAGCAGCCTAATGTCAAAGTGGCCCATGTTCTTTTTCCTTAAGTTTCACATTGCAACAGCAATGAATTTTTATGAGCCTGCCTCATGACCCTTCACGTTGTTTGTGCACGTGCGTCCCTTTGACACCAACAGAAAAACCCACCACTTCTCACAGTGGCAACCAGGTAACATCCTTGTATCTACTGCAACTTCCATTTTTAGTCCTCCTTTTCCACATCAAATACTTTGTGGTGCTTTTAACATCATTTAGTGATTTTGTCATGCAGAAACAAGGGAAATGATTGATGCATTATCAGCCAATGCCTTCTGCATCTCAAGAAAACATCTTGCAGTTCCCTGGTAATCAGGGACTTCAGTTTGGAAACTGTTTCATTTTCATTAAAATCTTCAATTTGCAGGACTTGTCTTCTGTTTCTAAGGAGGGTCGTGAGACTGTTAGAGGTATGTGGCATTTGTGGAAGCAGTAAATGGAGAGCACTGGAGATTTGTGGGTGATGAAAATACTTTCACACATTGTGCCAGGCTATTATGATGCTGAGACAGACTCAGGTTCCTCAGCCAAATATTCCTTCGGTTCCTCAGAGAAACATCAACCCTTGCTTGGAATATTAGATTGAACAGAGGTCTGGTTCGACATGTTTCCAGCAAAAATTCTGGAAGGAAACCAATTTCAACTCATATTTTCAAATGTACTGAGTGGATTGCAACTACATCTATTTTAGTTTAATCCTAAAATACTGTCTTTCTGTACAGTGTATTCTATAATGCATAGTAAGATTGCAGCAGATTTCTAGTCTGTCGAGCCTTTAATGAGTTTTCTGTTTCTACTTTTTGATGTATAATCTTTTTAGGTAATTAGTGGGACTTTTCAGCAGTTTTATCCTTGTGATGCTCTAGTTTTTAAAGGATTTAGTGAGAAGCAGCTAACAGGTAGGTGCTGCAGTCACTTCTCTACTGCAGAGAAGCTCTGGTCCTGTAGTGCTGACATGGGAGCTTTATCCCTGACTTCATTGGGTGTAGGTCCAAAATCCACAGCTTTGGTATTGAATGATTTATTACTGATGCATGGAAGAAATAAGAATTGCCTCTGAGTAACTTTGAACAAACAGGGTTTTTTTTATTTTGTAATGCATTTTTTAATTCTACAGCAGTACAAAATGCCCTCTGATATGGGTTGTCCACACTGGGTAATTAACCTTGCATGAGTGTTAAGAATCTGGGGAACATATGTTCTTTCTGAGAGTATTTGTTACTGAAGCAGTCGAGTTCAAGGTGGTGAATGCTCATCCACTTTGAATAATTGTTGTACATAAATAATATTCATTACCAGACATTCACAATTTTTCATTAATGCATTTTACTTGGTACTTCCCTAGAGGGACCATAAAGCTGGCAGCTTCTTCCAGTACTTCACTAATATGCTGGTGTATTATATATATATTTACTCAAGTGAAAGGATTTAAAGAGATATTAAATAATTACTAAATGTGCCATCTTTGTATGTACCTCAATCCAGAGAAGTGGTTCTAAAGCCATCTATATCTCTGCCATGCAATACAAATACAATGCAATATGATATAATAACATTTAATTGGTAATAACAGAGAAAACTGTAGTCTTCATTAAAGCAGCAAAGCTAATTCTGGTCTGATAAAGTGCACTGAGCATCCCTAAATAGGTTTTAATTAGCTGGCACCAAAGCTTCACCACCCTTAGGGAGGGTAAAATTAATGAAAACTAGCAGCAAATTGATCAATGCTAGTGGATGTTCTTGCCTTAGGTGAAGGTGATGAGAAAGAAAGGAGTGTCTTTTAAGGATCATTTAGAAAACAGTCTGCATTAAAAGTCACTTTCAACAAGCAATGCTAAAATAAATCTGTGCTGATGTCAGCAGAGGAGTCTGATGTTTCCTGGACTGCAGGAGGTCCATTTGCGTTTATATTGCAAGCCCCTGAGCACTGCAGCTCCCAGCAGTGCCTGGGAGAGCCTGGCTCCACAGGGCAGGCAGTGGGCTCGGGGCACTCTGTCCCACTCTCTCTGTCCCACTCTGTCCCACTCTGTCCCACTCTGTCTCATTCTCTCTGTCCCTCTCTGTCCCACTCTTTCCCATTCTCTCTGTCCCACTCTGTCCACTCCCCAGCAAACAGCCGTGCTGCCATGCTGGTACTGCTCAAAGAACAGCTGAACTGGGTGTTTGTAGTCACTCTTCTTGTGAATAACTACTGAAAAGAGCTCTGCTGAAGAAATGCATCTTGAGCTCCTAAAATTCCCAGTAAGAGATGTGAGATGATGTTCAGAAATCCGGGCAGTTTGATAGACAGAGGACTTTCCACCTGCACCGTGACAGAGCCCATCCCATGCCCAATCAGTTCAATTCAACAACATTTTGTAAATATTATTAGCTGCACACACGTCTTCAGGAGGCAGGTTCACTGAGCCACATTTGCAATCAAATGGTTTTTCTGAAAGACTTCTGTCTATATCTTGGAGAATTCTGAAGAAACAAAATTGCTTTTGTGTTTCTCTTCCAGAAGTTCTTAGTTTCCTCAGTTCATGCCAGATGGTGCTATGTGTTAGGTTGTGAGAAAGCTGTTTTATCATTCAAGGCAGAAAGATGTGTCATTCTGATTGCTGACTTCTGCATCAAGATTCAAAATTTGGGGTTGTGTTCAAGCTGCCATTTTACTCAGTTCTGCTCACTAATTATTTATTACTTTGGTGATATACGAGATCTATGTTATATCTCTGTCTTTTCGAGCTAGCAAATTACATTAATCTAAAGTTTGGATTGACACTGTTAAGACAACTGCAGTCATCACAGCTTCACCTCAGCTAATATGTGGTTTTTCATGTGTCTGACTAATCTACATGAAGCTATAGTCTAGTAAAAATGTCATTGAAATGAATAAATGAAATTACATTCTCTGAGGTTCAGGTAGCTGCAAGTTCTATTGTTTGGTGATATTCTCTGTGAATTGAGGCAGTAAAGCTGTCAGTGTCCAGAATATCAGTTTTATGCTGTGTTTCTAGTTGTTAGCTTGAATGAAATACTATAGTAATGATATTTTCATTTTTGGACTTGCTTTCATGTATGTATTGGTTTCTTTATCAAAGTTATTCAGAGGAAATATAAAAGATTAGCTAGTGTTGCTTAATATTTGCAGAAAGCAGTTTCCCTTGGGCAGCTGTGAGCATTGACACTGAGTCTGGCTCAAAGAGTTAAATTTTGGCACTTGGGAAGTACATCCCATCAGTACTTTGTATTAATGTGATTAAAAAAAATTCTGGAAGATGAGTAAAAGTTCATTTCATTTTGAATAGAAAATGAGCAGAGTTAGGGAATATCAATGTGTAAATTACAGAACTTTAGAAAGAAAAGGATGAAAAAACTGACACAGACTGACAGAGGAAATGAATAATGCCTGTTGGAAGATTTTTAAGGACGAAGATTAATTGTAGTTTACAATTTGCTGTAGTCTTTATCATGATGATGTAA